TTATTTTTTTTTTTTTTTTTTTACGTTCGCATTTTCAGAGCGTGGCTCGCAAGCCAAGAAAATGAAGCTGACTTGAAACAGAGGCATTTATCCTTGATTAGGATGTTAATTAAACAGCTATAGCGATCTCTCCTGACAAGCTGACTTATACGTCAGGTACCGGCCGGGCACGTTGCCTGTGGCTCAGCTAATTGGCGGTACCTGTTTGCGCTCAGGCTTCAAGTAATGCCTCGCCAAAAAAAAAGGAAAAAAAAAAAAGAAAAAAAAAATGCTAATCTCTGATTTCTTTGTCTCCGAGTAATTTAACAAATACATGTGCTAGGAATAAAGAGAACCCGACCCCAAACTTCTTTTTTTTTTTTTTTATCATGTCTTAACTGTGTGAAATCGGCATTGGCTAATACCGATATGAAATGCTCTCACCTGCTTACTGTTAAAGAGGTATCAATCGCATTTCAGCTAGAAGTCATTTTGCCTCTACCTAGGGTTTATTTAGTGTTTGATAGGAAAAAACAACCAACCAAAAAACTAGCTATAGAAATAGCAATCACTAAGACACTAAGAAAGGGTTGCTAACTCCAAATAAATCTATCTATCATTCAAGTGAAGACCAGGAGAGAAACAAATGCTGGTCCTTGGCAGGTAGGTGTGTGCTAACCCGTTATGCCAGCACCTATGTCACCAAAATAATGGAGGAAGTCCATCTATGCTCATGAAGAACAATCCATTTGTCCAACTGCTCTGCAAATAGCAGTGAAGTTCATAATGTCATTCATTTCAACTTTCTGTCCTTGTAAGGATGGCCAGCCTGGGGCAGTTAGACAATATTTCTACTCTTTAAAAACCCAGTTCCCATCCATTGGCGATCATGGAACTTCATGAACACCTCTTCAGCAGGGATTTTAGTCCTAACAAACCCTCAGCACAACCTGGCACCCAGAAAGTGCCTTGAGGATGGATCCAAGGACATGTGGTCAGCACTTTGCTGTCCCCCATCTAACTTGAAAATCAGGGAAGCAGTTCTCCACAAGACCCATCAGCTGCTTTGGACTGACTGACATTGTTAGTTGCAGGCCATACCTATGTCTTTTTCTCTACTCTAGACACAATTTTCTGCTTCTATGAGAGAAGAAAGAGGTGCCCCATTCCTACTTAACCACAGCTACATCCATGACCAGTTGGCATCCCACTTTCATATATATATATATATCTCACACAGGCTCTAACAAGTGCTGCAGTAGTTCACTGTGGGCCAAGATTTCCATTCTCTAAGACGTTATGCAATGATGAAATCAGCAGAGTCTGTGATTCATCTGCTTTTCACAGAGTACTAGTCCAAGCTCCTATGCTTTTCACAGCTCCTATAAAAATAAAATTAATTTGTTTTTCAATTATGACTGTAAAAAGAAATAAACAATACAATAAAGTTTGTTGGCATTTTTTTTTTTTTTTCCTCAGCTAGTACAGCTAAGTACAAACAGCTTGGATCTCAGATGTGATATCAGGCTACTCAATCTTTTATAATATGGTTGAGTTCCTTTCCTGCCTTTTTGGGGCCATGTGGTAATAGCTACTTTTCGTATGTGTTTTTCTCATTAAAGAAAAGCAGATTAAGATAGCGCAGTGTCCCAGAATATTAACCTGGCTTCTATTAATGCTAATAGGAGTAATTTCAGTGTATATCAAGGAAAGACTGTACCTCCGTATGTCATGATGATATGACACTAAAATTAAAAGGATATTAATCCATTATATTCCTCATAGTGCATAAAACAATTGTAGTGGGAAACCAAGTGGCAGTTTTGCACCTATATGTCTGAGGCCAGATTTGGATGCCACTTGTGGCATGTTTTTGAAAAATGTAAACACTACATACAGCGGACATTCCTTTATTGAATGCATGTTTAATTCCCATTCATAGTGGGAATATTGATAATTAATTATAATTATTTACTAAATCAAAATGTGACACCACCTCACCCTTCACCAAAGCGATGTCTATGCTATAGGTAAATTGGCTCCCTGCTATTTGCAGATCTGTTAAAACAAGAAATCTATTTGAGCAATAATCTTCTGAGTCAGCGTGGTTACTGTTTAAGAGTGTCTCAACATGCAAGTAGGAAAATCTGCCAGTTATTCAGCGAGAAACATTTCCTCACAGCGTTTTGTCATTCAGGTGTGGGTTATCTGAGTACCATCAACACCTCATTCTCATTCAGAATGTGCGTTTTGGGAAGCAGTTTTTCTGTTGCAGCAGGTAATGATGCTCCTAATGCCACCGTTCAAACGAAGGAGGATTTAAAGAACTACTGTGCAGACCTTCAGGTAAGTTGAACCGGAAAAGTCACTGCAGGGATCCGCTCAGGACAGTTTGTAGAAAGCTTTTAGATTCGATTTGGTGAATGATACTCATCAAAGGATCAATGCATAAATGCTCCTCAGCTGTTTCATTCTAAGTTTTGAATGATTGCTTTTCTACCTTTCCGAGACTCGAGCTTCATACATCCAAAGAAGGTTTTTTAAAGAGCTTATCCCCATGAATTCCCTCCTCCTTCATGTTAAAGGATCTACAGAGAGTAGAAAAAACTGCCGAGGAGATGATGCTAGTGAGCTGCGAAGAGGTCTGGAGCACCACAAAGGCAGTAGTGCGTCTAGAAACATGCAGTTTCAGGGATTTGTGGTGGAGGTTTTGCTGGGCTGTTGCTGTGACTCACAGCCGCTCCAACATCAGAACAGACTGCCAGAGAAACTTACTTTTAACAATATGTTTTGTCCTAAATGGGAATTACAGTATCGGAGGGTAGGGGTGGAGGGGAGAAAGATCAGAATGGG